GTTGCGAAAAGATGGCCATCTTTATGCTGGGCCAAAAACTGACAGAAATAAAGTGAAGTTGGTCATAAATTTGCTTTTACGCCAAGATGACTTCATAAAGCGACAAATACGCAAAGCATAATGCCGAGTGCAGCCAACCCAAAAGTGGGGATAAGGAGGGGGTAGGGGGAGTCTATGGCGCTATATAGCAAAATTCTGGGGGAAAGAAGGGGTGCAAAGAGGCGCCGCAATGCAGACAACAAAAACTGTTGTGTTTTGTGTCTGGCCTGGCATTGTTGCTGCTGAAACTGTCGTCGTATCAAAGCAATTCTGGGGGTGAAGAAAATGGGTGGAAAATGGGCGAAGAATGGGGGAGGTGGGGCTCAGGAAGGGGCGGGAAAGTGGGGCAGGTTGCAAACGCCTGTCGCCGTTCCCAGACGCCGCTGATTTATAAGCTTGGCTCAGACTCCACCAAAGAAAGCCATCACCGAAAGGAATCATGCAAATGTGTGGGAATTGTACTTTGAACAGTACTTTTTGGAAACAAACCAAATTAAAAATTTTGTTCAAAAAAAACAGTATTATTAAAGTAAACTTGAGAGGAATAACCTTTTTAAGGATAAATACATATCACTAACTTTTCAAGTACTCACTTTCCAGTGTAGTGTGGGACAGGGAAATCAGGGGAAATATGGGATCCTGGCAGATAAGAGAGAGGCAGGCTGGGGGCTTGGAGGTAAAGCCCGAAAGCTGAGGTGCTGCCACGCGCATTTTTCCGATTTTGCATTGCATACTTTTTGGCTGAACGCGTCGGAGAAAGTGGGGAAAGCGGAGGGAAGGAAGAAAGGGGCCGCAAGAGCAGGGAATGTCTCGATTTTTTACTTTGAACACAAATATTGAACGTTTACATTACTCCCATCGCCTGCCCCCTCCTCCATCCCCCTCCACTCCGCCTTTGAATGCCACGCATGAAAGCGTTGCAAGTCAGCAACGCGAACGAAGAGAAATGGCCAAAACGAGCAAAGCACAACGAAAATGGCAAGCAGCAGCGGCTACAAAAATAATAAAAAAAACCGGAGTAAGGGAGCCAGCCAAAAGATAGCAATGCACTTGGGGAAAACATTCAATTAAGATGCATTTAAGTGAAGTTGGTTTCTTGTTTTCGTAGTTATGGTAATTATGTAGAATTACAAGCGGAGTCAATGGATTTCATTCTAGGCATCACCTATTACCTTTTGTATTTTTTTAAGCATCTACTTCAGCCTCGTTATAATTAAATTACATTTCTCTCCGTGTAAGATCGGAGTGCGGAAAGCGAGCACGGATTTGCAAGAGGAAGCTTGACGGGAACACGGAAAGGAAAAGAGACAGGAACAGGGACAAGGAGAGAGACAACAACAGAGCAGCTTACAAGCGCATTTCGATTATTGTTGATGTAATCATAATTTTTCATTTCCAAAGTAAACGATACCGTTCCAGCCCCCCTTCCATCCCCCTTGCAACCCCCTTCCAAACCTCTTCCACTCCCCTTCACCATTCCCTTGTTCAACGCATAAAGAATCGACGAGAATTAAACGAACTTTTCATTTATTTACACGAGAAGCATGAGAAACGCGTTTTAAACGCGCATCGCGTCGATGATTTAAGTAAACAAACAGCAGGCAAACTGAAAGAATTTCTCTCGACGAAGAATAACATACTCTAAGAAATTCAAATAAATTCAAATAGTTTGTATCACTTCTTGTCACAAGCAAAGTTATGGTGGTTGAGTAAAAATTAAAATATATTGAACAAAATAGACAAGACTTCAATGGAAACCCCAAAAGCACATTACTTCATAACCGAAAGAGGAACCTGCCAAATAACTCATAAGGAATCTAGCCGCCAGAGATGGGAACCCCCTGTTTGTAGGGTAGAACGAAACCCACAGCCGTCGGGGGCGCATGCCACACAGTGGGCGGGGCAGGATGACAAGCCTGGCAGAGATTTTCGGTTTGGATCCGACTGCGGTCGCGAGGAGGCTGGATTGTGGGGGCTCCGGGTGTGAAAGGGGAGGACTGCCGGCTGTCTTGCATCATTAATTACAATTTGAGCTGCACACGCGGAGCGGAGCGGAGTTCGCGTTCCAAGGGAGTTTGCAGCACGCGGGGGGTGCGGAAAAATCGAGACAAGCTGCGAATAAAAAAGGCCAGCAGGAAGCGTTACATAACCCAATCCTGGACAGTTCGCCCAGGAGCCTACCATTGCGATATATATTGCCATATATACACACATCTCCGACACTCTGTGGCTGCGCTGACATTTTAATTGCACTGCATGACTCCCTTAATTCGCTTAATTAATCAACATTTTTTCGCTTATCAATATCGCAAAGAGTTTTTAAGGGTTTCCGTTGAGAAATCGCTGTAAAAATGGCAGAGGCAATTTAATAATTTGTCTGTCACTGGCAATAAGAATTCGTATTTTAGATCAATATAAAAACTTGTTGGCTCACGTGGCGTATGATTGATATTTTTTTTAATTCCCTAGCTCGCAGTTTACTGCAAATTGTAAAAATGTTGGCGTGAATTCCTGATATTACACCAAGACATTAGGCTAACCTCTTGTGATTTTAGGCAACTGTAGATGTGCTGCTGCCCAACTAAATGCGTAAATTAGCAACAGCTGAGCCATAAAATCCGCACACAAAGGCTTTTGCGGATTGCATGTGGGGCTGAGGTCAAAGTTGAGTGGGCAAGGGGCGAGTGGGGGAAAGGGGGTCTAAGGCGAAGGTAACGCGGGTCGGTAATTTTGCAGTAATTGAAACCATCAAAGCACGGTCAGTGGCACTGCGTGTGGGTGCGAGAGGGACGGGCAATTACGGGCAGTGCGATAATATTAATGTGGAGGCGGTCACCATTGTTGGAGTCTCGGCCTTATCGCAAATGCGGCGAATATTATCTGCGATAATGAGAAAACTAATTGTGAGCTATGCAAATGTGGCAGCTCCAGATACCAGATGCACCTGTTCGAGTTTGTGTGTGTAGCTGTAGGTGTGTCACAGGTGTGTGTGTGACTGGAATTGCCAACACCGTTCAAGTGAGAAAGCAATTAGATTTGATAGTTTATCGGGGCCCATTTGAATAAACGGAAATTGCATCTGCAACAAGCACAAAAGGCCTAAAGCTCGCAGATCTTTTAAGCTCTCAAAATATTTTTCTTAATATGTGTATATTTTATTTTTATTCATTTTCAATTGAATTGCAGGAAATTGACAAATCATCTGAAATCCATTCCCTTATCCCTTGGATAATGTACATATTTTGCACCTTTCATTTTCTCTTATTAAACCATTTTCTTTAAGAGCAGAAGTTATGACAGCTCATTACATCTCGCAGCATTTCTGTTACTCATGTAATTCGCAGTTCAATTGCCTGCTAATATGGGATGTCGATAGTGTCAGACACACATGTCTCATCTCTTCCTCTTCTTAAGCCATATATATGGAGATGTACCCCCAACTTCCGCATGTAACTCGAATTCGTTAATTATTTTGACAGTCGGCCATGTTCACAGCCGCAAAAGTCAACGGTAAGAGAATTGAGGGAGAGAATTGGAGAGAGATAAACCGTTAGGAAATACGACTAACGAATGCACTTCATAAAACCATAATGAAATATAAAGCAAAATAGTATTATTTCTGAAAATGTTTTTATGATAAATATCTGATACAGTATAGAACAAGAAAGGAAGCTAGCTTCGGCAAGCCGAAGCTCATATACCCTTGCAGTCATCAAACATTTCGAACAGAATACACAGAGGCTAAACTACATCGAAGCTACGACGACTTTTCTATTAACTTTCCATATTTTTGACTATTGTTCATATGGCAGCTATATGATATAGTCGTCTGATTTTGATAAAATTTAATTTGTTATTCAAAAGTCGTTAGAAAACTCTTTATTCCAAAAATCATGATTTTCTGAAGAGAAGTAACGATGTTATCATTTTATTTCCGTTAAAACTATATAGATTTTTCGATCTTTCCTATGGCAGCTATGAGATATCGTTGTCCGATTTTTATGAAACTTTTTTCTCAATATAAGAGTTGTTAAAAAAATTGATATTCAAAAAATCATGCTCATGGGATAAAAAACAAGGATGTTATCAATTTATTTCCATTATTTTATATATATATTTTTGAGGTCTCCTATGGCAGCTATATGATAGAGTTATCCGATTTTGATAAAATTTAATCCGAAATTCAATAGTAGTTAGAAAACCCCATCTGGAAGAATTCAAGTCGATCTGATCAAAAACAAAGGAGTTAGAATTTTTTATTTTATTCTCTCGTATAGGAGATATCCGATATAGTCGGCCGATCCGGCTCGTTCCGACTTATATACTGCGTGCAATAGCTACACAACTTTTGTGAAAGTTTCAGCAAGATAGCTTTAAAACTGAGAGACTAGTTTACATAGAAACAGACAGACGGACAGACGGACAGACGGACAGACGGACCGACGGACAGACGGACCGACGGACAGACGTACATACATATTTCGATTCAGATGGTGATGCTGATCAAGAATATATATACTTTATGGGGTCTAAGGTGTCTCCTTCACTGCGTTGCAAACTTCTGACTGAAATTATAATACCCTTTTGCTCTGCAAGGGTATAAAAATGGAATTATTAGTCTGCAGTTCCACTTTATTTTCTCCGAATTTGAGTAGCTCTCCATGCGGTCGAACCTGTTGAGTATGCTGAGTGCCCTCGTCAATATGCGGACACCGAAGGTAACGACTTGAGAGGTTCTGTTGTGGCCACATGAAACTTGCATGAGTCCTGACGGCTTCCCTTTCCGTAATTTGTGCGGCTGCCACAGCCATTTTGGTCAACCTCTGATTACGCCACATCCGAAATGGACATGTCAAATTAGCTGGGACGTATAAACAAGAACAGATACATACGTATATAGCTGTCGAACATGTCAAACTTTAAGTTCTTCCACCCGAATTGTCTGAAATTCGACCCAAGTCATACTTTTAACTTTATAATTATTTCAAAAATATGAGTTTTTTAACCTTAAAAACCTGCTTTAAATTTCCACGAAGACCTAACTGCCTATTTTTAGTTACATTGGTTATTTATTCAAACGCTTAATGCTATTTACACAGATCGATATATTTTAGGCCCAGTAGTTGGGGGCCTCAGCAGCATTTCCCAGAGCAGCCAGCCCAGGACGAATCCGTAGGCGAGCCAACCGAGGAGCAGCCGCCGATGCCGCCACTAAATGATGGAAATATCCTTGTTCGTATTGCCATCCTGTTTGTGGCCATTGTTGTTGTTATTGGCGACGAAGTCCCGCCGCAAGGCGTTCCAATTTGGATCGGGGTGGTCCTTAAGAAGGCTCCAATTGGGCGAAGGGACATCCGGCGATAGCCAGTTGAAATCGGCTACATCTGTGTAGTTGTTTTGCGACTTATTTAGCCCAGAAGCCAGATAATCGGCCTCTAGTTCAGGATAGTCGTAGTTAAACTCCCCGATCTCGATGTCCTTGCAATCCTCAATAATGGCGCGGCAGGTGACATGCAGATATATGCGAACAACGCCGGATGAGTGCAGCCTTAGCTGCTGACAGGCAACGGAGAGGGTGCACTTCTCCAGGTTCTCGGCGAAGAAGGACCGTGCGATGGGACCGCAAAGCAGGGTGCACTGCGAGGCTTTGGAAACCTGCACGGAGCCCGGATGTCCTTGCAGCTCAACCAAACAGTGGCTTATATTCGAGATGGTTATATCCTGACCGTTAACTTGGCTGGAATCCAGGACTACGTGCTCCTTCCTTCGATTGGCTATTGTCCAGCTGAAGTTGGAGCCAGGTTTTTCGGGGACTTTGCTGGATTTCGCATCGACTGCATCCTTATTTGCTGTTGACTTCTGCTTGCTGGCTGTCTTTTTGCCACTGAAACCGAACTTCTTCTTGGGCATCAGGCGTTGGCGGGTTTCATCGCTGGCGGAAGTCAGGGTGTTCAGGATATTCTGACACGATTTGATCTTAAAATCGGAGAGGAACATTGTGGAGGCGGTGAGGTATCGCTGCAGTTCCTGGATCTGCAGGGTTATATCCGCAAACTGCCGACCTAAATCAGTGGGCGGGGCATCTCCACATTGTATATCCTTCAGCCGCTGTTCTATGTCGATGGTTCTCTGCCCAAAAGTCTGGGAGAAGTAGTCGACGCCCTCGTTTTGCACCGATTCCTTGGAACGCTGCTCCGATTTGACATCCAAATAGTTTTGCCTGTCTTTGTTCCTTTTGTTCAGTCGCTCGAGGATTTGATCCTTGCGATTTTCCGAATCGCCCTCCATGTTCTGTCTATGAGCTGGAGAAGATAAATCTGGTTAAAAATCAATTTTCTGGAATAGAACTGCTTTTTTGGCCCAATGAATCACAGTTGTTGTTTTTTTTCTTGGCAAGTTGCGCAGCTGCAGGAAAATTCGGAAAAAGTGAGGCTCTGCCTCGTGGAAACCTCCTTATGCTTGATGATTAGAGTGTACACTTTCCAAAACTTTATTAGTTTGTTTTTATTTATTACCCTTTTATTTAATTTTTTATTTACTTTGTGCAGCTGCTCACAGTGTTTCTTAATTTATGTGAACGGCAAATAAATAGGTAGTAAGCAAAACCATTTGTAACCTAGCAATCTGGCAACGCTAATGTGAATGCCAAAGACAAAGAAGAAGCAGTTTCGCGCCAAATATGCATTTTAAAAAGCTGAACGGTGTTTCGTTTGAATATTGATCAACTGAAGTTTTGATTTAAAATATTAATTTGTTGGTGTTACATTTTTAGCAAAAAGTACAAATTCATGATTTCGATACGTGCAAAAAGTACAAATTCATGATTTCGATATGTCTGTTAATGCTTTTTTACATAAATGCCTGAATGCTTAAAAATATTTTTATTTTTGTGGATTGACTACATACCACATTTATTTATTTGATAAGCCAACGAGAGTAATTCCATCAGAACTCTTTGTTGATAAATGCGGTGCTATTTTTTTCGCTTTATCAGCTCCACTAAAAGCGCGATTCAAAAGCTAGCAAAAATCTGCGATCAGTTCTCTTTTGTTCCTCGCCTTTTCCGGTTATATTTAATACTTTCAGTATGTTCGGGCACCGAATCCTTGTTCTGTACACCTTCATTGTGTGTATTCTGTATTCATCCCATTCGGAAACCCACAATAATGACCGATCCGTGTGTCTACTGCAAGATCCGCCAAACCAGTGCGGCGAGTTCTGCCTTTCAGTGCTAGAACCCCTTCTCAGTCACATCGCCAAGCACCAGGAGCAGTGGAGTGCCTCGGATGCCCTGAAGGGCAACGAAACCCAAGCAAAGCTAGACAGGATACAGACCACGGTAGAGAGTCAATCGACATCCCTTGGAGAAACTTTGGAAAAGGTCCTAGCCCACGACTTCAAGGAGAGACTGGCTAGAATGGAAGCTCAGCAGGCAGACAAGCACAACACAACGGGATCCGAACTAAAAGAGTTGATCAGTCTAGTAAAGGAACAAAAACCCATGCAGGAAGCCCTAAGAAACCTTGTACCAGAGAACCTGGCGGAAAGCCTTTCGTCTCTACAGGAAACTGTTAAAAAAATTCCGAAGGACTTTCAACAAGATCTAAACCGGACGGAGCAACATCAAACAGACTTAAACAACAAGATGGAAAGTCTACAGCAAGCGCTAGAAACGAAAATGGAAAGTTTCCATCCTTCCTTGGATGAAATGAAAAAGAAAATATCAGAAGACTTCGAAGGAAGACTAGCTAATATTGAAAAGCAGCAGAAGGCAATACAGAACAGGATGGAGGCCCAACAAGCTGAACTTGAGAAAAGCCTATCCAGAATATTATTCAAAGTTACTTTCCCGAACTTCAAGCTAATCGGCTCTAGATACTTCTACATTGCGCGCTCAGAGAACTTGCGTTGGGACAATGCTGCAAAGACGTGTCGCGAAATGGGAGGCTATCTAGCATCCTTTAAGGATCAAACGGAACTGGATGCTATTGTTAAAAGGCTCGACAATGAACGTTATTGGCTGAGCATCAACGACCGGGAGAACCATGGGGATTACGTAACCGATGCCACTGGAAAGAGTGCTCAATTTTTAAGGTGGCACTCAGGAGAACCTAACAACGCGGAAAACAATGAACACTGCGTGGAACTTCGGGAAGGCGCCATGAACGACATCCCGTGCTACATGGAGCTAAGATTTATTTGCCAGGCTGGCGATGAAGTTTAACTGATTAAAAAGCAAACGCAAGCTTCCCTGCTTTCTTTACTTTTTATTTTCGATCAAAACTACAGGCAAACATTTTTAAGAAGCGGTCTTTTTGAAGTGGCGGTGTTTGTGTGGAGTATATTGCTTTTTGGCTTACAAATATCCTGTTGAACATATTTACAATTGAATTTAGTTAGATACATAAACGTAGTATGTAAAGTTATATATTTATATATTGAGGTGTGTGCTTGATGTGTGCCCTAATGCGTGCAAATGTCCTAAAAAGCATTTGTACTTCTACATTCATCCTTCGTTAGCAACTCTTCAACACTTAAGTACTACAAAAATATTAAACACTTCTTCCTTGCTTTGAAATCCTGGCTTAATATTTGGTTGATCTTAGTTACTTGTTTTTGGGCTTTCACTGCATCCTGATTCTGTTTCTGTTTCCGGTTCCGGCTCCGCTTCTCGTTTAAGGCACATGACACATTCCTGAATATGATGTGCGTTTTATATAGCAGTAGATATTAGAAATAACACTTTAAAACTATTGACTACACAATGATTTGAAATTCGCTTGCTAGTTCGCGCTGGAATTTGTGTTCCATGTTCTGGGAAATATTCGTGGGACTGAACAAATTCCAATTCTATAATGCATATGACCAGCAAATGACTAAAATATCAACCAAGACCCCGAAGGGCGCGGCCAACAAAAAGTTGTACACCAAATAAAAGTTAATTTCTCGGAAATGTTGTCGCGCATCTGCACATAGATCGTGAGATCCTCCTTATATAGATCATGAGAGCTCGCCGATGGGAGCGTTCTGCAGCCACAGGTCGTGTATGAAGTTGTACAGATTATCGCTGACGGCGACCTGTGGGCGATTACATTGATTTTAGGCTTAAGCACAATAGTCATTGGAGTGACTCCTTACCTTGTAGGGCGTTGGGTTGAGCGTGCGCTTGTGGTCGTTCCGCAGCGTCTTCAGTGAGATTTGCACCTTCTCGCGCACCTGCTCCAAGGTGGGCAGCTGCTGGCAGATCTTGCCCGACTTCCAGTACACCTTGTAGAGCGACTCCACGTGCGAGGGTATCACGTAGGCGCGCTTCGACTCCTGGAAGGGGTGGCGGCACAGGACCTTCTGGCCGACCGCTGGCGGAGGCTCCGACACCTTCTGCAGCAGGTCGATCAGGGCGTGGCCGTCGGCGCTGTACAGCCGGTAGGCATTCTTGTTGCCCGGCATGGTCACCTTCTCCACGTCCTGGCTCAGCTTGATCCGTGGCTGGCCGTTGATCTCCACCAGCTTGTACACACAGCCCAGGGCCGGCTGGCGCTGGCAGGTAACTGGAGAGGCGACTCAATTAAAAATCATCCATCACCCACTGCATTCCAACAACTCACCCAAATGCGTGCCAATGCCAAAGCAGTCGATCTTGTGGCCCTGCTCGTTCAGACTCAGTATTGTGTCCTCGTTGATGTCGTTCGACGCCACGATGGTCAGCTTGTTGAACCACGGAACCTTGAACCGCTCCGCCACCTTCTCGAAGGTCTCCCGCGCCAGGCAGGATAGGTAGGCCAGGTCCCCGGAGTCGATCCGGATGCCCAATGCGTGGTAGCCCAGATCGTTCAGCGCCAAAGCCACGGCACTGAAATTCAGCAGGCCACTCCTAGGGAAAATACAAATTGTTCGCAATATTCAGTAATCACGTTTTCGGCCTCCATTAAGTGCTGCTTTGTTTTGGTTTTCAATTCAACAAAAATATTCTCTCATTGCTATACAATACTTGGTTCTTTGCCACTAGGTTTAAAGCGAAAGTTACACAAAAACAACTGTTTCGAAAGTGAGGTGGAGCTAAAAAACGTGGTGGAGAACCCAAATGGATTCCTTTGGTTTGCAAGTGCGGCTCTTTGTGTTTGAAAATTCAGCCTGGGAAAATTTATCATTTTCTTGTTACGGAGCAGCACAAAATGTCGAAGATTTTCGGTTTTCTTTTTAAGCCATGCAGTGTGCTCTCTCGGACGCTTTTTATTTTAATTATATACAGGTTATATAACTAACGAAAATATATTTTTGAAAAATATCAAAAAACATTTGTTGGTTGGAAAAGAGTTTCAAAATTAATCTGTTAGAGAAATCGTTTAACAATACAAAACTGGGGGACGGAAAAACAAGAAAAGTCCGAAAAATGTTATAAAACTTAAGCAAAATCGTTTGTGAATTGGGGACAAGGACAATTAAAACAAGTTAAGTCAATGACAACATTAGGGTGAATCAGTGCATGTTTCTGTTTGAGTTGTTTGCTTTCATTAACAATATAGAAAACATTTGTAACTTTACTTTACTTTAAAGTATTCCATGAACCCTGAGGATTTTGTTACATATTTGTTACATCAATCCTCAGTAAATGAGCAAATGCGATCGATCATTAACAATTTCAATTTATGCACCTAGTTATGTGTGGAAAATAGGATCATTTATCATTTATGAATGAACTTTGTTTGTTTTGCCGTGGTTGCTGCTTTCGAGTGTGTGAGTATATGCCAAGTGATATTATAGTGTTGTTGTTGTTTATATCATGTTGTTGATTGTTCGGATTGTTGGGGTTTTCGTAACTTGAAGACGTGTTTTACATACCTCTGCCAAAATAGTGCCGGAAGTCATTTGTTTACTATGTTAGGTTCGTAAATTCTTTTCATTTTTGACTTTTTGTGGAGTTCTGATTCGAGTTCAATTAATGAGTTCGGGTTTACTTTGTTCACATTCACAATAAGGACGAAAAATGAAAGCATATTAAACGAATTTGACTAAAAAACGAAAAAAGGTAAAATGGAAATTAAGCGTGTTAGTAAAAGAGTGATACACAAAAAGTTAGGAAAGCAAAGGAGTAAAGCAAATAAATAAATGAAATAAATTGACTTCACCTGTTCTGGTTGAGTTTCATTGATTTAATCATTTGCCGGAATTCTTCCCAGTTACGGGGAATGACTTGAGAACCAATTTAGTAACACCAAAGCAGAGGACACATATGTATATATCAGCTTAAGTATACACATATATATGCATGTAAATGATGGTTATAATTTTAAATTTTGGAGCTAATGCTTATGTTTATTTTCACGATAACATGCAGCCTTTGATTAATAAAATAATAAAATATGCTCTTCATGGTGATAGATTAGTTAGAGCTAGCAAAAAGGTTTAGTTTTTGTCAGCTCCTTTTATGATATATAGAAGACAGAAAATAATGATAGCTTAAATTAACGGTAACGTTGAAAGAAAAGCTTTAAAACATCTGAAGAAAATGCGGATGTGAAATATGATTAGGTTGGTTAGCAATGAAAAGGATTTTAAGTAAAGAAATTATTTTTAACTTGTTTGACTCCTATTCAAATTTTTGGTTTTTCAAATTCTCATAATGGGTCTGTTTTTGATAACGACATTTACCTGAATGACTTCTCGACATATTTTGGTAGGTATGCCGTCCCATTGGACACTGTGGTTGTCTTTAAAGTTGCTGTGGTTGTTGCTGTTGCTGTCGTTGTTGTTGTTTTGCTGGTTTTTGTATCTTGTAAGTTTGTATCTGTCGGCGACCTACTGCCGTTCTGAGCAATGCCATTCTGAACGCCATTGGTCTTGGGCCCGTTTATTTGGCCATTACTCTGACCATTTTGATGGCCATTTGTTGATGGCTTTGGCTTTGGCTTTGGCTTTGGCGGACTGTTCTCGGACTTAATGTCACTGATAAGCTTGGGTTCTGTGTTGGCTTGTTTTGTTTCTCGGCTGTTGGATAATACTTTGGATTATTACTCAAACGAAAAACCAAATATAAAAGCTCACACTAAAAAACGATTGGGGTGTGGCAGAATGAACTCAAAAATTCATCATCTGTGTATGGGGATACTTTTTTAAGTTAGAGGCTGACTTGGTTAGCTGTTTTAATAGTTACTCTTGTTGGGTTTTTATCTGGCTGGTGCACGTCTCGAGAGTCTCAAATACAATACAAAATAGATCAAGGAAATCCATACTCAAAATAACACGGGTAAAATGGATAACTAGAGAGTTACGGGGTAACAACACAAACGAGGGAAAAACCGAAAACTAAAACCGTTCCGAGAGAATCTGCCTAGAAGCGAAATACCTCTTAACATCGTACGTATCGACAAGGGCCATGAATCCGTCGGGGAAAGCGATGGCGTAGGACACCATGGCAGCCAGTTCCCCCTCACTGGACTCCTCAGTGGACACGTCCAGGAGGTGCGACAGCATCGCCCGGTGCCTGATGGCGTGCTCCAGAAGATCCTCCATGATGCCTGTAAAATATTAGACCTTCAGTATGTTTTCTTTATGATTTAATTCCGATGACTCACCCGTTTGCTTGTGCTTGATGAGCCGGGTCTTCAGCTCTCCAATGCTGCTGAAACTAGTGATATATGCATGGGCATGGGTCCCCTTCACGGGGATGTTGAAGAGCTTGCCAGCCAGCACGTTGGAGGTGCCATCGAAGCCCCCTGGAAATGGCAATTAGCGAGAATACATGTACATGTCGGGAAACCTTAAGATAGAATGATCGGATGGGGCGAAGAACCCCAGGGAGCCGTGTTAAATAAATGACATTAAGACTGCAGAACAACCTTATTAAAGCCTTTCCAACTTTTAATGGTTCTGTGTCATTATTTTTCCTATTAGTAGTGGAAATTTCAACTATAAAAATTTCAATTTCCCAGCCCTTCCCTTTACTTCCTCACCTAAAAAACCTTGGAAGGAACCTTGACGCCAACTTGACGGCGTGAGTCACGCGCACACAAATCCATCCATTGATTTGAGGGGATAATACTGTACCGGGGATCCCAAACCCAACTTCCTTGTGGAACGCATTAAAAACTTTGAGCGCTGGTTTGCCAAACAAACGGAACCGAAAAAGTTACGATGTGTGAGCGCCAATTGAAAGGCTCCGCGGCAGAGGTTCCCGGGTTAGGATTCGCTGGGTACCTGGCACCGGTGTTCCATGTACATGGACACCCGACGTGGGCGTTGCGTGTGCCACCCACTTTTGGGATTTTACTGCTGCCGAGCGCATTTAGTTTAACACATAAACAAGAGTTCTTGAACTTTGTCGCAAGAGGAGAGGCAGCACGGGCGATGGTGGAGGAGGAGAAACGGAAGCCTTGATGAAGGCGGAAAATTACTCATAGTTCGGGGGGAGGGCCTTGAGAAATGGGAAAAATCGGAAATCAGAGTCAGCGGAGTCTTAGCTCCTGACAGTGACACGTGCTTTGCATGCATGCACATCATAAAAAGTCAGGCACAAAGCAATATGACTTTACCCCCTCCAATACGATCAATGCAAAGTATGATAGAGTGGCTTATAGACCACATGAATGCCCTACCCAAATATAATACAACAATGCTTATTACACTTATAAATAAGTAAAAGAATAAAATATTTCTATCTGTGGTACTAACAATTAAGTTTAGAGATTAACTCCTTAAAGTTGTCTTTATCCGAAACTATTGTTAAAGCTCCCCAAAAAGAAGTGACTCTGACTGAGTTGCCTGCCTGATCCATTCCCCCATTGTTTTAATTGATAATGAGCTGTCTGCATGCAATTTGGCAATGCCGAAAATGTTTATATCGCACACGGTTGACCTTACTTGTCACGGCTTTATAGAACTCCGCGGGTTCAGAGTGTGGGGCGTGTGAAAGTTCATATTTTATGGTGGTGCTCTGTACCTGTGTAGGAATATTTCGATGCGGATAGACCGCCATCTGGTCCCTGGGCACGACGCAGGCCGAATTCCAATAGTTTGACATGTTTGCCAGCTACCATGCGATAACGGGCTGCATTGGTGGCCATTAAACTGTTTTCGGGGGAGAGAATGGGAGCTATTAGGAAATTTCCAGATAACAGGGAAAAGTACACGTAATTCGTACCTGGCATAATTCACCAAGGTGAGAAGAGTCGTCTCCAGCAGCTGGACTATGATCAAAGGTCCCTCGATCTTAATAATGGGAACTCTGAAAATAGAAACAATTCATAAACATTTCATAAACAAGCTTAGCTTATCATAGCTGTTGGGAAATTACATAATTTCACGGTCTTCTTAGGGTCGGCCATTATTTTTTCAGATAGCATGCCTTCAACTGAACTTTTCATAACATGGAATATCTTTAGGCTTATCAACTGCAATGCTGACTTAAATAGGAATGATGGCTGCAATAACTATAAAGCCATTCAGAGATTAGGTATCTGCTGACTGTTTTGATGACTGCTTGAATACGCTTCTTTAAGAGTCATGATACATTTTTAAACTGAAGGATGCTTCATAACATATATACAATGTTGCATTAAATAACAAGGAAACTTAACTACACAACTATGTTTATTAAAGTAACCTATCTCCCCACTTTATGAAGGCCTTGCACACCCACCGTGGAAATGCTACTGTGCCCTCATCAATGGCATACAAGGTGACATCCCGCGCCGTCAAATTGCCGAGGTACTCGAAAAACTCGTGCTCAATGCCCTCGGGCAAGGTTTGCTTTAGGTATTCGATATCTGGAGGGAGTCCAATCAAATTGATTAACTAGAATAAATCAAAACATATAGATCCAAACACTCACCGCTTTGGGAATAGTGGAAGCTATCCAGGAACTTGAGGCACTCCTCCAGCCCGGCGAAAATCGTGAATTCACCATGGAATGGATTGTTGCGAAAGAACAGATCGAATACCGCCGTGTCATCGGTCTTATCGGACTTCCAGTATGCGTAGGCCATAGTTATTTGATACAAATCTGTAATATAATGAATAGATACATTTATTACTCCTCGATATAATCAAAGTATTGCAAATATCGAAACCACGAACAAGTACAATCAAACTGCAATAACTCTTGCTCTCAAGATTGTATAGGTTTCCAACATAACCATGTTTCCCTGTACATAGTAGCAAATATAAGATAAGATAACCTGGAAAGTCAATAGCTGATGGGGGCAATTAACGCTACCCAAATACAAAAACACGAGCACGCAAATGAAATGCAAATTCTTATCTAAGTGCAAAGACCTAAGATCGGGTTTTTTATTTATTTGCGCTCGTGTCTGCAATGACTAAAAATATGTGGGGTGTATATATAGAAAGGAATAAAAGCCGACACAAGCATCGCATAGCGCGCCAAATTGTCTCTGAGTAAATGTCAGCCGGCTTTAGGGATTTGGAAAACGACGGAAACCACTTATTTGAAACTTTGTAACTGTTTATACCAATTAATTTTAATTTTAATTCTTTGATTGCATTTATGAAGGAAACTCCCATGCATTACATAAATGACCCTGGAAAGTCGTTAATATAAATTAAAAATTTCCCAAAATAGCAGTTACCTATTAGCAGTTATCTGTTAGAAATTAAATTAATAGTTATTGCGACCATCTGTGGACAATAAATTATTTAGCAATTACCAGTTAGCAGGGGCTGGACAACTCCATTCTGATTCATCCGCCCGCGATCCATAAACTGGCCGCCCGCACTGCAGCTCAATTCACGGTCGTTCATTTTGTCGACGATCTGTGGAATCTCGCGCTATATGGGCTTTAGTTTTTCAAAATACCAGTTGGTTCGTAATTCTCTTTGGTAAGCTCACACGCGACTCTTTCGCTGGCAATTAATGTGCCAAATAAACAAATTAATTTATTGTTTTCGCTTGTTGGGTTATTTATACTGGGCGTTGAACTTTTGTATCTGTTAATCTGTAAAGGCAGAAATTGTTTTGCAATTGTCGCTGGAGGAGGATTGTAAATTGTTTCAACTCAAATGACGTAATAAGCGCGATGTTTTTTGAGCTCACGCTCAAAGTATTTATCATAAAAATGCAATTGAAACAATTGCTATTGAATGAGTTGTAAAGACTTTGAGATACCCGTTGGTTAGATTGTTTTTATTTACTTTTTATTTTGGATTGCCTAACATATTTACAGGATTTGTATTACTTTCTGAGATGTAGCTTATTTTATTCCAAAGTAAATATCCATTTATAAATATCCGTATTTATGCAGGTTTCTTTTGTTCACAACCACCGGGTAACGAAACTAAAACGCAAAATGACGAAAGTTTTGAAATGCTAATGAAACACACGCTAATTTGCATAGGGCACTAAAACCAGAGATTTATGTATTCCGGCGTTATCAATTAAAATGAGATAACGCGCTCAATGCTATTTTTTACTCGTGTGAAGATCACTTTTCCACGGGCCCAACTTTTCCGCTTGACTTTTGAAGTTGAAGTGAATTCGAAAATCGCAAAAGCGAGCGGGTAAACCGAAAGAGAGCAAAACACTCGGAGAAGAGAGCCGATGCAGATTTTTGTTTGGGAGAATTGTTGATTTTTGTTTTTGTGTTGCCATTGGCAGCCGGTTGGTTTGATTTATTCTGCCTTTTTCAGCTTCTTTTCGATTTAGTTGTTGTTTCTGATTATTGGCTAAAATGTTAGATTACACACAACGTGTTGCTGCATGTTGAAGGTTGCGTGAAGGTCGCGCAACACAGGCGCACACCACGCACACACAGATCCATACGGAAAAACAACCGAGAGTGGGGCGTTACTACCACCCTCCTCCCGAAAAAAGAAAGGCGTTGGCGAGGGCGGGAGAATTCTGTATGCACTTTCACTTTTTTGCGCACGCTTTAATTCATAATTTTAATTAGGCGGCGGGCGTTTTTTTGTACACCCACTAATAACAATAAGGTATTCTGTTTCAGAATTCAGAACGCGTTCTTATGTGTTTTTCTTATCAGCGGCTTAACAACACTTTTATAACGTTCACTAGAAAGTTTATTCAAAATATTTTCCGCCAAATACACGAAAAAGTAAATTACTTTTAATTCATTGAGCGAACGCTCGCGCACGTTCTTCTTCTTTTCCGTCAAACAGCTGATTGTGCTGTTATGTCTTGTCCAGTGCTGCGAAATTGGCTTTTCCCAATCTTTTTAGCTAAAAAGCGAAAGTTAATTTTTAAGTCTGAAAATTATAAACAAAATTTTATTTAAAAGAAAACAAAACTAAGAATTTATTAGGATTTTTAAAAAATCAAGTACATTTGCTCAACGGTCTTAATCTTATGTTAGTGCTGGAAAACGGGTCAAAATTTGGCGCCAATAAAATATTTTAAAAAACCTACACAGCATATTTTTTAAGATTCAAGGCATGGAAACCATTTATTGTAAAGCCACTGAGGATATTTTTAAACTTATGCGTATAGGCGCATACATTTATTAACACGTAAAACTTAACTTAAAGTTCAAATAGTTACTTTGCATGAATCGAGTTATCTACCTGGGGTGGCCAATCTAAATCGATGGCTACCACATCCAGTGCTTGAATGTCGATGGGTTTGCCTATGATAGAGGACAATGACGGCGAGGTCCTGCCAAATTCGCCATGAACCAGCTCCTTAATATACGTGCCCGCTTGAGTAACAATATCGATGACCAGAGCATGGTGATTTCCACGCTGCACTTTAGCCTTAACACTGTAAATCGTTCTGGGGCGCGTGTGCAAAGGGCGACGATGAAGGACTCGTATAGGTGTCTTTTGCTGAATGTCAAAACTCTGTGGGATTTGCAGTTTATTGAGTATCTCCACAGATACCGGTTCTTTAAGGACGCAGAGAGCGCGATAAAATTTCTTTTTCTGCTCCTCCCCAGTCTTAATGTGAGTAAGCTCTTCTCTGGCCACGACTTGCAGGTCGAGTATGGACACTTTTCCCGATGTATCAACAGCCTTTTCCATCTTGTGGGCTTGTGATGTGGTTAAGCTACTCCTTATGGCATTCGGTATTTCCAAAGCAAAGGGTCTGCCCTTTCCCAGACAGCGGACATCCACATCTTCCCTGCCACTCGACATAAAGGTGATTTTATCCCGGTTCTCTGTGAAGTGGGGACCCACGTGCCTGATGATGATCTCCTCGATACTGTCCTCCATTAGTCTTTGGCCGTTCAAAACCCAGGGAGTGTGTGATAGTTCCCTGCTCAACTTTCGATATCTTCCTGCCACGCAAATCAACGGACCCTGCAGGTCTATGGATGTGAGCTTCAGTGACTCCTCAACGCTTGAGCACGGTATCTGGAAATATTTCTCAAAGGTTTCCGCCCGTACTTTAGAAGGTTGGTATTGTTTCTCTAGTAATCCTCTCGAAATTTCAATTCGTTTCTGATACGCAGCCTTTGCGGGAAAAGCCTCCTTGTTTAGTTTCACTAGTTTCTCGACATCTTCTTGCTCCAGTTTGTGGGTGAGATCTATATTTATCATCAGGCCATTGGCGTCGTACTCCTTGTTCAACTTTTCACAGATAATCGGGTGAAGAATCAGCTTAACAGCTTCTTTAATAGGCACATCTGGGGGATTACTACCGTCTATAGCTGCTCCAAATTTTCTCTGCAAAGCAAACCACATGGCTAGTTGCCTCAACTGCAGGGTCATGGGCAAACATATTGCTAAAACGACTTTTTGGCAATCGTATTTGGCAAAATCTGAAGCCAAAATGCCGCCAAGAAGCTCCTTTTGGAATTCCTCTGAGAACAATCCCAAGCATGTAGCGCAAATGTCTAGGCGGGTCTTCTTAGCTGGTGGATCTTCAATCGGTATGAGCGCCTCTCCATTTTTTAAATTTTTTGTCACTTCTACGTCCAACTGGGCATTTAAAGTGTTATTTTAGCCAGTTTTTAACTGTCAACAAATTTAAACAAACACTCACCTTTCGGAAAGTTTCCTTGATGTCCTTGTATTCGGTGCCCCTGGCTTTCAGGTAACGCAGCTGACAAACCTCGCACACCCCGCAGGATCTCAAGTAATCCACTAAATCCTGGTTTTTCATGATTCCCCAGCAAAAGGCGATCAAATTTGTATAAACAAAACGTGCTGAGCGGTTTGCGCTCTATTCAACACCGTCAGCTGACAGCTGTCAAAAGCTCCTCGCGTTAATCAACACCGTAGCCAGGCGCAGATAAAAACACAAAAATATTGTTTTCATTGCGGATTGCCAGCAATTTAAGGTGTGAAATAAAGTTAAACCCCTTTACATATAAATGAGAAAATAAAGAGACATAGTTGAAATCGAATAAGTGAGATTAAAAGCTTTGAATTTTCCCTGAAACTCTTGTTTATGGTTACGTCACAACGCAAAGCGCCGAAAACTAAGACCGATGTCTACCACAAATTCTGTAATTTGTTATTGTTTTTTTTTTGTTCCAGACAAAATGTCGCTGACTCCCTTTTTGCGCCTGCCTTTGACCGATCTGACTGGTTGTTTGATTAACCACCAGACCTATGACAAATGCGGCAACTTTGAGATGAAGATGATGGAGTGCTTCGAGGCGTATGGCTTGGAGCGCGGAAAGATAAAGTGCGCCGATCTGATTTCCGATTTCCAGGAGTGTGTGGGCATGCAAAAGCAACTGTTGCGTTTCCACGTAGGTTTTCCCCTAGTTCATGAGATTAACAAGTTTTATTCGTGCCCATAATCTGCTTTTTAGGCTATGCGAAACGAGCGCTACAAGCAGTGGTTGAAGGGAGAGCGCAAGGGTGAGGAGTTCTTCGCGGACCCTCCTCGCGTGGACGCCTACTAATCTGGAATGCTTTATTCTTGGGTAATCGCATATTGTTTAGCCTCAAATTGTGTAAAAATAAAGAAATCTAATAATGAATTGTATTGGTCGATTTTTGGTAAACAGGGTTGTCATCTCCATTACATATGTAGTTTTTCAACACTATGAACTTGCTTTAGTATATTTTTGCAAGTCCTGCGGTATATTTGACTGTTGGGGTCACACTGCCGCACGGTTTGTTGTTCTGCTGAAAAATTAGATTTTCTTTAAATCAGAAGGAAAACAACAATAATGGGCACCAAAAGACCCAACAACAGTGTGGTTTTGGCCCAAGAGGCAAAGCGCAGCAAAAGTGACCTGGTGGCCTACACAAATAGGGACAAAGCCCTCCTTGAATCGGTAAGCGTGCTGGCAAGAAGAAGCACCAGCCAAATTTCAATATGAGTTTGGTTTAATTTATTTAATTATATTTCCCAGGGCGTGAGGCGTACCTCCAATCTTCAGGCACCCATTATGCAGCTGGAAGGGCACGAAGGCGAGATATTCACAGCGGAGTTCCATCCAGAGGGAGAGTTACTGCTATCCTCCGGTTTTGATAGGCAAATATGTACGTGAAATCGGTTTTCCTGAGGTCGGAGAGGCTTCTTTACCTCTATATTCATCATTTCAGACATCTGGCAGGTGTACGACGACTGCGAGAATGTGATGGCGATGTCGGGACACAGTGGCGCCGTGATGGAGGCACACTTCACGCCGGATGGCTCTCACATCTTCACCTGCTCCACGGACAAAACCCTTGCCATTTGGGACATAGTCACGGGGCAGCGACAGCGGCGCTTCAAGGGGGCACGGCAACTTCGTGAACAGCGTGCAGGGCTCACGAAGGGGTCAGCAGCTCCTTTGCTCGGGAAGCGACGATCGCACCATCAAGATCTGGGATGCCAGGAAGAAGCACGCCGCCCACACACTAGAGTCTCCCTTTCAGGTCACCGCAGTTTGCTTCGGCGACACTGGCGAACAGGTGATCAGTGGCGGGATCGACAACGAGCTCAAGATCTGGGACATACGCAAGCAGGCGGTTCTGCATCACCTGCGTGGGCACTCCGATACGATCACGGGAATGTCCTTGTCTCCTGAGGGAGACTTTGTGCTGACGAATGCCATGGACAACACATTAAGGGTGTGGGACGTGAGACCCTACGCCCCGGGCGAAAGATGTGTAAAGGTCTTCCAGGGCCATCAGCATAACTTTGAAAAGAATCTGCTGCGCTGCGCTTGGTCGCCGGGTAGCGACAAAATATCCTCGGGTTCCGCCGATCGACATGTCTACATCTGGGATGTGAATACCAGGAGAATCCTGTACAAACTGCCGGGACACAATGGCAGTGTGAATGCTGTGGACTTTAGCCCGAAAGAGCCGCTAATTCTGTCTGGATCCAGCGATAAGACCCTGTATCTGGGCGAGATCGAAGAATGACCGCATGCTACTCTGGCGGTTACTCCTTTGCAGCCCGAGTTACTTTTCCAGCGATTAAAAGGTCACAAGATCAATCTTTATCAGTAAAGCTGGTTGTATGTCAATAAATTTAAAAGTTCTTTAAATATAAGTAAATAAGAAAGGTATGGAACTTTTTACTAACTTCCTTAGTTAGCGAGAACAATTTCAACGTGGCAGAAACTTCTTTCTCCCCTTTAAAATTAAAAGTGATGTGCTCTTTATTACATACAAATTGCTGATTATGGGCCCAAGCAAATGTTGGTGACTCAGTGCGCAATTAAATGATTTCTACAACATGAACTTTAAATTTGAGAGGCGTTGTATCACAAATAAGTTTTATTTTGGATTGATCAATGATTTAAATAAGTTACTTTTCGTTGCTGCGGTGGTGAATTTGTTTTGTTAGCTTTTCCCCTTTCTAAACAGGCAACGCACTCGACGAGGCCGATACGCTAGTCTTGAAGAGTTGTCCAAAGAATTTTAGCCCCGTTGCTCCGCCGGGAACCATTCCCACAATCATGAAGAGCAAGGCAATTATCTGGGCCACCGCAAAAAGGACCGTAAATGCAGTGCTCTTAGCCACCAGGGCGCAGTATAAAGTTAGAAGCAGGCAGGAACTGTACGAAATGGAAGTGAGCAGTCTTGGTCTGGAGAACATCTGCTTTAAAAAAGACCCGAATCCGGACAGGAAGCAGAAGCTCAGGATAAAGAACAGGCTGCCGAGTGTGTAAAGCAGGGCGAACTTTCTGGCCTTAAGGATCAGTACGGGAATGTAGAATGTGGAAAGAGTCAGGCACAGTCCGCCCATGCCCAAACATGCCACGAAGCCCACGATTCGCTGCAGCCGGGACTGAAATAAAAATAGAAAGGATCTTAAATTAGCCCCCGAATAACAATAGTCCCACAATCGCCGTAGTACTTGCGTACTACTCTTGAGGTGGGTAGGTAAACCAATTTTAACGCACCAATTTTGGGCAGCACGAGTCCTGCGTATCCTTGAGCCAACTATTCGCCTCCGGGGGATCGGATTTCCTTGAGAAAAATGGAACCTTCAGCTGTGGCAGCTTTACGTTAAAACTTTTCTTCTGATCACTTTGCAGCAGCAAGTATTCATCCAAGTCTGATTTTAAGCTACTCATCTTTTAAGATTATTTTTGCTTTCCTATACTCTTATTTATTTATCTGTCGTGTAAGCAAAACAAAACAATCTGCTGGCCGCGATAACGATAGCGCACACAACTGGACAGAGTTGCCGACCTAGTTACTTTAAAGCTAAATCTGGCTAAGGTTCTATCTCAAAAACTTGGATAAACCTGAGAAGAACAGGCTTCAAAAAATCTATCATTAGCCAATCAAACATTTGTACTGCAATAAATTTAAAAATTGTTTTTGAGGTATCACTTTGAAATCGGGTGAAAACTGGTAAAATTCAGAAGTTCTGCAAGAGCACTCTTCGTGTCAAATACGTGATCCAATTGAAAATTTACGTTTTTGACCGCATTTGTACAGTGGCGCCCTCTAAAAATTTAGTTAGTTGCGTCACCCTCCACATAGACGAGTTTACTCCACCCGAGAAATGAACCAATGAGCTAGAGATGCGAATTTGCGTGGGAAAGCGGGTTTCTTAGCGGGAACCCGTAGCCAAGAGCGTTCGGTGTGAAATCGATTTCGCCGTCTGGTAACACCGGCTCAGCACGGTCACATTGTTTTGAAAATTTTTGAAGTGAACGGACCGCGCGGGTGTTTTGCGGGCGAGCAAAAAAAAAAAACAGCAGTACAACAACAGCGGCGGCGGGGCGATTAAGCGAAACGCCGCCAAAACACACACAGCAAAAAATTATTGTTATTATTATCTGAAAAAAGGAAAGTGCCCCCACCCCCTTCCCCTTCTCAGTGTGTGTAAGTGCGAATCGGCGTATCTCTGTGTGTGTTCGTGCGCGAGTGAGCTTGTGTGCGAAAATGCATTAATTACACCAACACCAAGGCAGATGCAGCAACAACAACGACAACAGCGGGAGAAAGAAGAGTTAACAGAAATCCAAATACAATAAAATACAAACAAAAACACAGGCGAAAAGCAAATGGAAATCGAGCAACAAAGCAATAAATGATAAAAATTTAATTTTTTTATTGTTTCCAATTCAATATTGTGATGCTTTTTCTGCCGAATGAAATTCGCAGGGAGTTCGCAGCAAAAGTTCACCCAAAAATCCCGAGTGCTTAAATACACAGCAAAGTAACAGAAAAATTCAACTAGCAAGAATAATTTAAAACAAATCGGTAAACTTTGGACTCGGATCGGATTTTTCGGTTCGGTACGCTAAAGAACTCAACGGGCGCGTCGTTTTCCTTTTTTGGAGGTTTTCGAAATAGCAGCAACACCAAAAGCTATTGCCGCAAAATAACAGCAAGTAAAATGCGCAAGTTTCGAATACAGTCCAAAACGGGTTTACAATAAAAACAAAACGAAGCCAGCCAAAAAGGATCCGATGATCAGCCAAGGAAAGCCGCTTCAATGGTGTAAGTATATCTTGAATTTTGTACTCCCAGAATAGTAAGGAAGCTTAACAAAATTAGAATATACATTTTTCAGTAAGGGCCAATAGGAAAATATTTAGTACAATTTGGTTTAGCCATTCATGTAAAAATTATTTTATTTTAAAGAAGTTTCCATACATTTGTAGAATTTCACACTACTATTCGTAATATACGAAATTATTCAAACTACTTTGTTTTTCATCGGGGAATTTTCAGTTGGTATTCCCAGAATTCACACTTTCATTTAAAAGTAACTCAATGAGAGCTCCTTTTATTTAAATATAGAGTTTCAGTTCAGGGAAAGATAATTTCTATAGTTTCGGAGAAAAATGCTGTATAATTAACGAATGTATTTTCCACATTTCTTTGCAGCTCTCAACGCAAATGGTAAGAAAGGATATCTAATAAATGTATTAAAATTAAAACAGAAAATAAATGATTAACCCTTACAAAAGTGATTGGATAAATTCAGAATTTAATTAAACTCAGGTCAGTGCTTGAAAAAGTGTAAAACCAAGTGCTCAAGGATGTGCCAAAATACCAATTAAGCAAAAAAGAAACGTGGCATAATGCCGAAATTTATCAACTAAAAATCTTACAATTACAAAAATAAAAAAATTCAACAAATTTGCGCTTAACACGCTTTATAAATTATAATAAAAGCTACAAAATAATATTCGTCAAAGGCGGAGATATCTTCTTTTTATGGTAATCTTAGTATTTCTCAGTAGAAAATAACTAAATTCATTACAGCTCCGAAGATAGTCGTGTTAAAAATTTTCTTTAAAGTCGTGTAATAACATTAATAACTACTAGTTCAGAGCGAAGAATTCTTCCTCTTTTTGGGCGATCTACAGCAATGTGAAGTACACTAGTACAAGTACAAAAAAAATGGCACAACAAAAATGTGAGCTTGCGGGCAGAGACGCCAGCAGAGGCAGAAGCTCGGCAGAGCAGCAATTAACTCGAAAGCAAAGAATTTCATCAGAAATTCAAAGCGCACATATACACACGTGCGCACAAACGCACGCACACCAAAACGAATGACGTGCAACGGGCTGAAAATAACGAAGTCGACGTCGACAGAAGCAGCGGCTACAGCAGAAGCAGCAAAAGAGAGAGACGTTGAAAATTTGTAGCAAAAAATCCAGGCTGACAGCTCCCCCAACGTACGAAAAAGTAACATGGCGACTATATATAAATCGTATATAAATATCTGAGTGTGTGTGCGCGGGCTCCAAACTACAAAAACGAACAACGCAAAATACGCTAGAGCCAGGCGAGCAAAAGAGAGGGGGCACTCACTGATGCGTGAGTTCGAGTGAGACAACCGCTGAGTGGTGGAGAGAAATTGTCGTGTCGCTTGAAAAATCGATTCAGCTGCTGTGCGAGCGGGACAGTGCGCTGCAGTAAAACGTTTTTTCTTACTTAACCCGTTTGGTGTGCGTGCGCACAGAGTATGTGTGAGGTTGGGGAGCGAGAAACTACAAAGTTGGAGCTCTCTTTCTGGCTAATGCGGTCGCGCTGCCCATGTATTGGTGTTGCTGTGTGGTCACGTAGCCGCAACACAAAGAGCAGATACTAAATACATACGGAAACTGGTTTTCTTTTAGCTGCTGCTGGCAATATTCATGAATTCTAGTTAAAACGCCCGACTTTAATAGGGTTCTTCCCCCTTCTAGATTGCAGTAAAACCAAAAATGGCGAACCAAAAAAAAAATGAACAAACACACAGGGATAAGTTTCCTACTGTGTCTTAAACGATATTGCCCTAATTGGGCTGCAAAACTTGCTGGCTCTCCTTCATTTTGCAGCCCTTCTGGCCTTTCTCAGCCTTTCTCGGTTTTTTGCGAGCCGCACCCCACCAGTTCACCAAAGCGACTAAAATCGCGAAGCGCCGCGGCCCCAAGTTTTTGGGTGAGCAGCGCAGCTGCGGCGCTGCCGGTAGCGGAGAAACTTTCACGCCACCATTGGGGCCGAATCCAGTGTGCTAGAGCGAGACACTTGTAGGCCACACAGTCTTACAGCTTCTAGCACTCACACAGAGAAATTGCGTAGCTGTATGGGTGATTTCCTGCTGCGCCCGAAAAGAAAATACGTAGGAGATTTAGAGGCTACAAAACTACACGATTTATGGAAGAACGTGCAACAACAAAGCGAAAGAAGCGCACCACATGACCACATAGCCATTTATAAATACACACAGCCGAGAGATACTCGTTTTCCATGTACGAGAAAAAAAGTACCAGCTATAAATTCTTTATGTACAGACGAGTACATAGCGCACACACCGACTCAGCCACAGATACAGATACCCCATGTATTTTGTGCGCTGAAGCAGCAACAACAGCTGGCTGTCTCGCTCTAACCACCACGTCAGACGGCAAACGTCAATTATAAGCAAACAAAGCGACGTTGCCACTTTTCTGTTTTATCCGCAGCGCGGCAGAGGAAGCGAGACGGCGACAGGGCGGCGGCGTTGCCAAACTTCAGCGTCGAGTTTGCCTGTGTGTGTGTTGTTCTTGTAGTTTCCATGCTTCTTTAGTGCATGGAATTTTAACATGCTGTACCTCCAACCCCCTTCTTTCGTAGGGGCGGGTGGGGTGGAGCGGGGGATTATAATAACGCTCTGCCGGCGTCGCTGCTCGCATTTTCCACCTTCTCGCATTCGTATTGTTGCAGAGGAAATGGCCCTATACAAGAAGTTTATCTTTATATATCTAGTACATGGCGTATTCCTCGCTTAAATTGAGGCAAAAAAAAAAAAGAGAACTCTTCTTGGGGCCCATTGAAATTTCAATAAATTTAAATTGCTCTAGTTGAATTAAATTAAAAGCGTATTTTTAGTTGCTAAATTAAGGCAAATTGGCATAAGTGAAAAAATAACAAGAAGCTAAATCAAGTAAATCACAAATAAAAGAAAAGGCGAATCAAGTGAAATCACAATGGAAAAGGTTCCATTACAAAGTGCATGTGCAAGTGTTAAACAAAAAAGATCTAATACCAGCTGAAAAAAGGCAGAAATCTAATCCCCATGTAACCCCCGTATCCGTATCTTTCGTCTCCTCCCTTTCAAAATATAGTGCTAAAAATGTGCAAGTGAAGCGGAAATCTTACCAAAGTAATTGAAAAAGAAAGAAATCCATTAAAGCCCCCAAAATCAAACGAGGCGAGAATCGTAACAATCCCCATACTGGAATATATAAAAAACGAGTGCATAATGTTTAATGGGAAGGAGGGCGCCCATTTAAAATGATGCCCCTCCACTCGCGGAATACGACGCAATGCTTCTTCTAAATAAAAGAAGATTCTGCTGTGAGTGTTCCGTTGTCGAAACATGGTACGCGATAGTAGCCGTAACATTTGTTTTGGAAAATTAGCCGAAACTACGACGCCGCACCACCAACAACAGCAACAGCAACAACAACAACTGCAGACACAGCAACAGCAGCAACAACCATTCGTTGTGGATAGCAGCAGCACCATTAATAATAACAACAATATTAACAACAATAATAACAATAATCAGAAATTGAAAAGGTGAGTGCTATTGGATATCTAAAAGGTGGCAAAGGGGTTTTTCAAATACCACAGGAAGTTGTCTGTATCTATATCAAACACATAACTAGCTTTTGGCTTCTGTTGTAGACATTTAACAGTAATATATAATATATAACAACTTGATACTATGCACAGAATTGTCCTTTTTTTAACAGGTAAAATTTTTTAAATAATGCTCTCGTTTTGAAAACCTTACTGGTACCCTAAGAAACCGAGCCCAGCTGTCTCAGAAAGTATCTAACGGATGCGTGAGTGGGTGCTTGAATAACACTGTGCGACAAAATTTAACGAAATGTTTGTTTGAGTTACTTTTTTGATTGTTTTCGGTTAAGGGGCATAAGTTATGCACAAAAATATTTATGCCACCTTCTAAGTGATAGGATTTCTTTTTTTATGATAAATTTTATGAAATTATTATTATGAAAATATTTAACACAAAATATTATTTTTTTTTTTACTTCCAATAAACTATTATTTTTTTGAAAGTGAAATTTTTTTCTGATTTTTTTGGCTTTTTCAGAGGTATCCTCGCGTTACAAGTTCCATACGTAGTCGCCCAGAGTATAGAGCTGGGAGAAAAAAATTTTAAAGCATTGTGATAAAAGCCTAACGGTATATTTGCTTAATATATTTTAATTAATAGATATTGAACTTGCATAAAACGCTTATAACGGTGAAAAAATATTTTCCCAATATGTGATTATAAGGCTGTGAAATATGGAAAAACACGCGTTTTTGGGACCTTTGAGTGTGCGTAGAAGCTGATTGGCTATTGATATTAACAAATCAAAAAACTTGTATTCTTATTTTGACTAGTAGAAGTGAAAAATAAGAAAAAATCAACTCAAACATTTTTTTGTCGCACAGTGTAATCTAGGAGAGTGCCCATTTAAAAGTTAAGAACCAGAAAACCAGAAAAAACCAACCACCGAGTAGTTTTATGTAAATCGCATCTGATGGAGCATCTAACGTGTGGGCCACTGGCAGCTACTTGTATCCGCTGCTGCCCACACGAGGCCGTTCTTATCATCGAGTGGGGATACGAATGTATCTGCGAGATGCATTTCCAAGCTGCCTGTCAGTTACCCTGTTACCCTTTTCCCCTCCTTTCCGCCTGGCAATCTCTGAGATACAAAAGCTAATGGCTGGCCATGCCCGAAAAAGAATGCGTAACTTTTTTACCTTGACTTGTCGTGTCTCTGCTGCTTTTCTATCTAAGTATCTTACCTGAGTGGGTCCCACTTGGCTTGGTGGTGTGTGTGTGTGTTTGACTACGTGTACAAACAGCAGGCAGAAAGAATCAAGAACTAAGAGTCATGGGACGGGGGGAACGAGGGAGAGTGTGACATGTGGCAATGGGCGGATGCTTAGAAGACACTCTCCAATCCATCCTATTTAATTGGATATTATTTTCGTTTTAGTTGCTAAACAATATTCGTAAAGCTGAGCTTGCCTCAAGTTACCGAAGTTTAAATGATCAGCTGAAAGTGTGCGATCATTACTAGCCGATACCTCTCTCTTTCATCTCCCTTATTACGTAATACCTTTCCTATAATTTCTGTGCCTTTCGTGTTTTGTTTTTTTTTGTTTTCGGGTCCAAACAGAAGAACCTCTCTGAGCAATTTGTTTTGTTCTGCCTGTTTTGTTTGCCTTCTTCTATGTGTTGCTTTCGTGAGTCGAAACGGGTTCCGCAGGCCCCTTCCTTTCTATATTTTCGGGCAGTGCAAAAGTCAAACGCTTTAATTGCTTCATTAGGCCGAAGCAGCCGATGTTGTTCAGCGGAGGGACTAGAGCAACACATGTTGTGTTTTCTGCTTTTAATGCTACTGCTGCTGGTGCATTAAACCCGCATCAATGTCAGACAACAGCAGTGGGCAAACCTCCATTTAATAGTTTTGCGGTAATTACCAACACAAATCGTCGAATCGACGCGGTTCAAAACCAGACGTTGTCTTCTGACATTGACAATGAACCCCCCGGTCTGAGCCAAGAAGTGAGCCACCAGTAATCAGCCACCAGCGCCACACACAAAAAACCCGACAAACAGCCCGGAGTGAAATATAGTTTCAGCTGCAGGCTTGAATTACGCACTTTTTTATGTACTTTTATTTTTCCATTACTTTTATTCGGTCGGGTACTTTGCACTCTAGCCGTACGAAATGCGTATTTGTTTATTTGCGGGGCTGAGTAATATTAGAAAGAGAGGCGAATTCAGCTTTGTTTTTGAACTTTTTCTAGGGCGCTGTGTTGACTTTTGTTTTATTTTTTCAGTGGTCTCTCACCTTGAAGTGCGTTTACATTTCAGGTGCGAAGCATTTGAGTTCTCTAATCGAATCTATCTGTTTGCCTTAGTGGGATTGTCGTCAATTTTCTAAAGAGCAATAGAAGTTGCTAGTGAATATTTATCTAAATTTGTCTAAAAACGTTACACATGCAGAACTTTTTGGAACCCTTATTACGTCGTCTAATGTCCTTGATCCGTCGATTAGCATTGAAAAGAATTTCAGTTTATAAAGTGTCCCACATCTGGGTTCGCCCCGCCATTTCCCTGACCCACGGAACACCCCAACTAACCCCGGCCACGTCAACTTAGATCACTTTATTAAATTGAATTTCGTGTTTCGCTTTTTAACACGAGATGGCAAGGCAGCACAACAACAATAATAATGATCTATATCAGATTTTATATACACAAAAATGTGTGCTTGTGTGTGTAGTTGTGTTTTTTTTAGTGCTTTTGACTCGTTTCAATGTCATGTTACATTTATATTTGTTGCTCTTGTTAATGTTGTTTTCATTATTGTTTTTGTTGCACGGCCACATGGGAATTTATAGTTTTTGTTGCCCGCTGTTTGTTCTTTTTGGCATTGAGGTTCTCCCTCTCGCAAAGCCAAAAAAGTAGATTAGATAGAGAAGCACAGAAATCAGAGCAGCGTCCTACGAAAATTGTAATTGCCACAGATCCGTTTGGCTTTGTTTTTGGTTCAAAATATGGTTCAAGTTGTTCTATTTTTAAGCACCTTGTTAGCAGGCAAAGAAGCCAAGAGAAATATTCAAAAAAAGATTAAACCCTTAAGTTTTTACCTATTCAAATACTGATGTTCGATTAGCTAAACTAAAAAGTTCATACGTGGATTTTTGAAGGCTCACTGAAAGCAAATAAATTATTTCCTATCCCCAATCATTACCATACCATTGTACTTTCGTACTTGATTATTATTCAAATGTTTAGTCATGGCCTGTGGCGTGTTTTTGTTATTTTTCAGTTCTATCTCAGGGGGGTCTGTTGCGGGGGTCTCTGGTTACTCATCCCGTACATCCGACGACTGCTTTTCGATGGAGGAACAGAAACAGAAACCCAGCCAAAAACAGAACCCTATAACCATAACCAATTCTTGTTATTGTTATTATTTTCACTACCAGTTGTGAAATTCGCTCTGCTCAATTTCGCTGGGATGATAAGGTCCGTCCGGTTGGTTTTCGTTTTCGGGTGAACGATGTATTTTAGTGGCTTTGAATTTTATCTCGAAAGTACTTTGTATTTTATTTACTATCAAAAAAAAAAAAAAATTTCAAATGAATCACCCCATAGAAACCCCAAAAGTATTAAATAAATTCATAATTTAATTTATCTGACAAAAAAAGTTTGTTTATCGCGAATAAAAGTGAACTTTAATGTTAAAAATTTAACTTTAGAGGCTAAAAAAACACTGAAAACCTATCCAAATTTCTTGGACCTTTAAATGCTCAAAAATGTGTTTGCCAATAACTTGTTGTCCCCTTTGGTGACCTTATTATCAAATCGCGTAGTTTTCCAATACGTTCAGGAACGCCAAACTATAGAAACTGATGGGCGAGGGGATTGGGCGCCGAATTGCGGCGGTTCATGCCAGTTGTGCAATTATTTTCATATAGCCAAACATATTCCGCTGTTCCGTTGCTATTGTCTTACACTTTTTATGCCTGGCAATGCACATTTCATTGTTTTTTGTGCAGTGTCGTAATGCCGAAAAACAATAACAAAATCGCGCAAAAACCGAAAAGTGCCGTGCAATAGGAGGATTGAGATATCACGAGGGAACGTGACGAAGTCGGACGGGAAAACGGGGGACGACGGCTGTCGGCGATGCGATAACTCAGCCAGCCTTTGTATGGGAAATTAGAAAATTCCCAAATAATTTCACACATGAGCTGAGCTCGGGAGATGGAGATGGAGATGAGTCTCCCGGATTCGTAGGTCCGTCCGAATCGACTCGAGTCTCCGGGGCGCAGCGTTGCCGCACTTCACACACGTTGACAAAAGGTGCTAAAGAACCGGACAGACACAAAAGATTATCATCAAGGGGCGATTGTGTGCGTTGCGTTTCTTTGCTGGCCTGTGTTCTGTGTTCGTGGAGGCAGAGAGTCCAACACAAAGAAGGCGCACCAAGAATCGATTATTATTCCCAAAGAGCTGACGAACGGGCTCAGAAAACATGGCCATAATACAGAGGCGGTCAAAAGAATATGGGCCCACTGAAAGGCAGTGGAAATCTTGTAATTTAGAGGATGAAGCGAGTTTATAAGCTGGAATTTACAGATAAGTTCAGTCTCTAAAGATTGCCTTTATTAAAGTATCCAGTTACCTTTTGCTTTCACAATAAATAATCTTTCTTGTCAGAGTAAAGATGATAATAGTTTTGTATGTTTATTCCCAACCTTACACAAAAAACAAAACATTTAATAATTCTTACTAAAAAAGGCGAGCCAACTTTGTAGTTTCAGTTGAGAACTCCTTAATTGCAAGATTCCTGGAACAGCCAGAAACTATATTCGTGCCTTGGCTAAACTCCTGGCCGCATCTGTGGACACAAACTCACGATATCGAGTATATAAAGAAAGCGGAGAAGGATGGCGATGATGATGGCTCGGATTCGGTTCGCCTCGGTTTCGGTGTTCTGTTACCTGTTTGCGTTTCTGTTTACTGATAACCAGTTGGA